AACTATTCTGACAGTTGTACATTGTACAACTTATGATCTTAAAATGTCATTTCATATGAAATAATCATGTTATGATTATTCTTCCCAATGATATTTTTCTCTTTAATTCACTGATAATTAGTTTTTGTTATTGTGGGTACTGTTTTAACCTAAAGTTTGCCTGCAATTTTTGTTAGAACCTATCATCCACCATTCAATAGTTTTGTGTTATCTAACTATATCTGGGTGGGAATAACTAAATATTTTATGTAAATATGCATGAATTCATGATCAATCGATCAGTTAGATCCCAAGTGGAAGTCTGTAAAGCATATTTGCGGTTTATAAAAGGACGATAAATCAAGTGTTTGAACATCACTGAAAAACATTGTATCTAAATATTTTGCTTGTGTACCCTAAGATATTTGGTATATTTATAACAACATTTCAAATAAATTTTTTATGATCAAAATGAAAATGAATTTATATCCGTTCTTGTTTTTACAGAGCATTTACATGGATTTATATAGAAGAGAAACATTGACTTATTTGGGAATTATTAAGCACAAAATAAAACTTTATTATCTTGATCAATCACAATTAAACACAAGCTCGATAATGTTCCGAATACAATTTTTTTGTTACTCCACTTTTTTAGTGTGGCATCAACAATGATTATGTAATAGAAATAAACGGGTTTAATCGTAATCAGCATTAGCGATTCTAATTTCTGATAAAGTAAAATTCATTAATGCAGGTTAAGATGAATTTATAGTTTGTTATTAAGAGATCACCGAGGTGCAACATGCGTCACTGTAGTATTCTCATGTGGGCTCGATACAACACATGTCGTAACTTTTTTGTTTCACGATACTTAAGCGATCTATGATTGGTGCTGGAAACTTCATATTTGACGACGCGTGTTTGATGCACAAAGACTGCTAGTAAAAATTTATTTGATCAAAAAAATTAAACCAAATTTATATTTGAGTAAGTCACTTCTAACGAGCCGCTTGTTGTTAGATTAACATTAAGATTAGTGCAAGCTGACCAACTAGTATAAGGCATTAGCCAATTAATTACTTACCATGCGAATACACACTTGCAGAATCATAATTGCGAGTTTTCACACTGAATCAGTAATTCTCTTTGATCGAATTAGGGTATAAGAGATGAAGAAAATGAATTTGTGAAGTATTTTATTAGCTGGCTACATTAAATAAGTCAACAAGCAATTAAACCATCGCTTAAGTTTGCCTCAGATGTATTCATGCACCTTGCAGAATTGGAATAAGGTAAATTAAAAACTAGGAAGAGATGTTATGAACGTTTAATCCTCACTAGTGTACACGTTTGGTAAAAACGAAAATTCATCTTAAAAATAGTTGACTTGTGTAAAGTTTAGGAATTCATTATAAACAACCATATTGTTATTTTGATTGTTGTGTACCTCAGTTCTTAAAGATGAACGTGTAGGTCAAAAGAAAACAATGGGGTTAACTAGTCACTACAAGAAAATGAATAAGCTCACATTCAACCAAGAATTAAACTATCAAAACCGCATACAAATTTTGATCACATTACACATAATCACAATTCAAAGCTTAAGTTCATTACATAGCAATCCAAGGATAAACTAGAATTGAAGCAGATCTTTGTTCATTGAAGTATTATTATATTGAATGTCAAACAAGCCTTTTGCTTTCTAAATTCTATTTTTTCCTACTCAAAAACGTGGTGCAGAAAACATGGCTATATATAGAGTAAATGGCCATCAGGACCGGTCGCAATCTCTAAAAACTCTGCCTGACTAAAACGTTTAGGCTCTGTTCTACATAATGTCAAAGTAATGATCCAAAATTTGTCTTAATTTATTATCAATGAAACTAACACACCAATGAAGAAACAAGTGATAAACGTGGTTGTCCTTCGAGTCGTTTGAAAAACATGATTGTCCTAAAAACACTTTGTGAAAGTTTACTGCTAATATCTAGTAAACCGACAAATGTAGTAAAGAGGTACGACCGTTTCTATAGTTTTGTCAATAAAACATTTAGCAAAATATAAAAATAAGAGCTTTGAGTGCAAACTTAAGTAATCACTAAGCATAAAGCAAGGTAAAAACGGAACATATGATTATGGATATCGAAAACGGACAAAATGTACATTAAGTTAAGCAAAAAGAAAAGACAAGTATATTCGTTTGATATAAAAAAGCACTAATTCCTTAGAAAATTACTGATCAAAAACTGCTAGGTTGGAAATATAAAAAACAACTAAGTAAAAAAACCATGCTCCTGAACATCGAAAAAAGAGAAAAATACAAAATATGTACTTTAAATAAAAGGCAAAAAAACATCCAAAAAAGACCAAACACACTAAGTTTAAGACATTTTAAATTATTTTAGTCACGGTAAATGATCAACGATGATGTCGTTTAAAACAAAATTTAACACAAGATTCCTGACCTCATTCAACTGAAGGAAGATGATTATCAAAAGGTTAATGAAACCTAAGTCTCTCATCAAAAATACAATATTTGCCCAAATTTACGAATTTTGAAGATTGGCAGATTAATAACTAACTGAAAGTGGTAACAACCTTCACCACAAGACTAGTTTAGTGTATAATTCAGGTTCGTTCGTCATAACGTCCAGGAATAGTTACAAAAAAACGATAAAAAGACAAAGACATCTGACGAAGTTACCTAACTACCAGTTGAAACATTTTCAGTCAATTCTACTAATGAGTCAATACACCAAATTGGCTATTAAACGACAAATGTTTTCTTGTACTCGTTTCATGTACAACGTGTGATCAATTTATTCACGATAAACTATTTTACTTGATCAATACATTGGAATTAGGCCTCCTTCTGTGTGAAAGGTCGTCTACTAGTAATATTATGGTAATTACATTACTATTGATCATTCACAGATGACCTAATGCCAAAACATACTTCTTCAAATTACCAGTAAATATTGAAATCGCCCTTAGTTCTAAACCTACAAATGTATGAGCAACTATACAAATTTTGAATTATTTTTTCCGGTTGGCGTTTTTATAGCGAGTTAGTTTTCTACGGGATGGGGTCGCTAACTCCATGCCCAACCCTCCTTTTTTACCCGAGCTTGGGACCGGCGGTAACTCTGGGAGACTTACAGGTGGACTTTCAACCAATATCAAAGTCAGAATCTTCAATGCGAGCGTCAAGACAGTTCTACTGTACGGAGCTGGAACTTGTAGAACTACTACAACCATCATCAAGAAAGTACGAGTATTTATAAATAGTTGTCTGTGAGAGAGAACAAGCCAGCTTCCGGCCAAAGAGGAAATTAGGAAAGGACGATGGAAATGGATAGGACATACATTACGCAAATCATCAAACTGCATCGCGAGGCGAGCCCCAACTTGGAACCCTGGAGGGAAGCGGAAAAGAGGAAGGCCAAAGAACACTTTACGTCGGAAAATAGAAGCAGATATGAAAAGGACGAATAACAACCAGAAAGGATTGCCCGGAACAGGGTTGGATGGTGATTTTTGGTGGGCGGCCTATGCTTCTCCACGAGGAGTAACAGGCGTAAGTAATTAAGTAAGCAAAGTATACAATTTTGATTTGGCATTTTTGGTTTCGGATTATATACAGGCAAATGCAAGACAATATGAATAAAATCCTATTCATGTTTAGATACTCAGACGGAATTAAAGATTCGTCCCACCAAACAAAAGCTTCTAGAATACACATAAGCCGCTGAGTGCAATAATGAACCAGTTCAGAATCCACACTCTTTTCTAAAATCAAGAAACTCATTCCTCAGTGAGTTTTAATTCTGTAAATGTTTCTAGACACTAAGTCCTGTCTCGTGATCCCGTAACACAATTTCATGTCTATAATAAAACCTCAAATCAATTTTTAAGTTGGGCAGCAAACCGCAAAGAGATTGGTTTTGGAGCCTGGACATGAAAGGAAAAGACTAGTATTCGTTTGAGAAGCGATTTGAAATTCACCTTCTAACGCTTTATACTTAACATCGAACCATTGTAAACTGTCTACTTAAACTTCGGCCGTATACAAAACGTGCATTCATTGATTACGCGTTCAGCTTACCAATTTATGATACTGTCGACATGCAGAATATACATAAAATATAATAGATTTAAGATAATAGTCTACTTAACATAACAGTAAAGGAAGAAGCTCCTGTATAAGTCTGAAAATCAACCTAACTAAAGTTTTGGGTGGCAATTAACCGGAACAGAACTGTCAATACTTCTTATCCTTATTAAGTAACTCAAATAAAGCTTCCTATTTGAATGAAACAAAATATTCACCCGTGTTTATCAGTTTTTGGACTCATACAAAGGAGTTGATAATATATAAGCTTACCCATCCTAATAGATCAACCGGTCTTTCAAAAACTACGGTCAACACGGTTTATTCGAATGTGCCGGTATACACAAAAGATTGTGTAATTTTATTCTATGCAAAGTCAAAAGACGTCATAAATATGCTATCTGAATCGAACGTTTGAGAAAAATAGTGATTAGGTCATCTTTCGCTTCAAAAATCACAGTGCTTTAAGATCTTCAGCTACTTTAGATGGTCAAATAGTTAGCTCAAGTCAGTAGACCAAACAATAGCCAGCCAAACATCTTAGAGTTCTAAATAAGATATTGGAATGTACACTGATGTTAATTAGTTGTATGTATTTTTCTGAATGATTGTTCAGTTGGTCTTCATTTACAACTAACGTATGGTCGTAGTCCTTTAAGTGCAAAGAGTCGAAATAACTCAAGGTTCCTTGAGTTGGCACGCTATGGGCAAGAAAGATACTAAACAGTAAACTTGGACAAGAGAAAAACAGATGAAACAAATTTGACATTACGCCTTGAGCATGCAGGCATCAGACAAAGGCCTGTACAAGTTCATGGACTAGTCTATGAGAACAATAAATCCACTCCCCTACTTATGTTGTAAATCGTAGCAATAATACAGCACTTAAAGAATTAAAATAACTTACTGGTTATTGTGAAGGAAATAATACCAAAAACTGTCAAGATTCCAAAAATCATTCCCACAGACCAGGTGGGCGCATCTGTTTACTATGGTGAATTTTCATTATGACGAAGCTATAGTCTGAATGAAGTGCGCAGTATTAAGTAACGTATTTAAGTTCTCAACACATAAGGTCGTATAAGATCGTGTTCAGTGTCCAAAACTTGAGAAGGTCGCGTTTCAATAATTATTCATTTGTACATACGTTCAACGCGAATCTCTTACCTACAATAATTAGTTAATGTTCATTATCAGGTTTCGTCAATCGAACGAATGTTAATATGTGAGATTGACGAGCTACCCAGTTTGCTGTTGATGTTTAAAAATTAAACAGCCACGTAGCTAACCTGTAAGTTTTACTTTCATTTGAATAATACCCTTCGATTAGTCAGGTATGCACTAGAGAGTTAAATAAATCCCCAAAATAAGTAGCTCTGTAAGGGGTGAATTTATTCGCAACGCAACCATGTAAACTTAATATATCGCCCACTGTAATCACAGTCATCTCTGCGTTCAAGTAACCATAGAATTTGTCATTTCATAATCTTTTTTAATTAAATAACCAGATTTTGGTGTCGTTAATTCGATCTATTTTTAATTTTCATTCGCCACGTCATTCTGCGTTACACTGTGCGTTCATTGCACGCTGGAATGATATCTCAAGTCATAATTAGTTTAATCACATCGTTGAATGTTTCCAGATAGACCGTCAGTGCATGATGTTACTGAAGAAGTGTTTGTTGTAATGTAAACTATGTCTTTATGACTAACTTCTTCAGCGTGAAAGCAATATATATATATATCCTTTGTGTTCTGTTAGGTAAGTTCAAACGGCCTATATTTCGTATTTTGGTTTTATCGGCTGAATTTTGTTCATTTTACTCCGTTTAGCAACATGTCTTTGCAAGTGGAACAATAAATATAACATTTACTCAGTTTAGCACTCTTGGTTGTCTTTATAATTTAGATTAGTCGATAGAATTATAGAATACTTATGTATAGTGCTTAAAGCCTGTAACGAAACGGATCAGATTAGTGAGTAGAGCTGCCTGGTTCTAGTGAGTATACTGATTCATATCAGTCTGATTAAAAATATGAAAAAAAACTTGTCTTTGATGCTGTCGCTGTCATATATTATAAGACAGCTTTAAGTATGTTTGGTGTTTATTTGTAGACAGTATGTCTAACACTGTTCATATTTCAAGACCACTGTCATTAAACAATTTCCCCAGCAATAACATCGGTAGCAAGATAGCTAAGTGTCTGGGCTTTTACTTGCCTGCGGAAGAGCAGTGTACAGTATTTGAAGATGAGTGTTCTGTGTCTCAATTAAACGCAGCTAGCTGTGGACAAAAGTTAAGGATCTTTTTGACAACTGGGATTATTAGTTTATCAGACACTAACTCTGCTTGTATGTCTTCCTGTTAAACTAGACGTACATGCATAGGAATACTTAAATGGGAGCAAAATAATAAGAGTATTGCGATACGGTGCTAAGTCCATGTTATGCTTTGCACAAGTGATAGTAGCTGACCTGATCTAATATTCATGAACTAAAGGTAAATCACAACTGCATAAATTCTTTGCTAAAAAACATGCAATTTGGTTATTCATCTATCCCACATTTCTGACTAAATTCATTACTATTTTCTCATTTAGAATGGAGCAGGAGTGAGCCTTCACAGATCCTAAGAACTGTTTCGCCCTTAGAACTATGGCCCTATGAAACTGTTTACGGGAGACCCAACTAACAGCAGATTATATAAAGGATGCTGGATGTCCGTTTTAGTCTCACAACCACTTTCAGTACTTTTTGAGTTACTTCTTTTACCCTTTCGTTTGGAAAAAATCAACAAAGACTGCAGCTCAACATTACCAGTGCAACTTTTAAACAGGGACTTCGCTTAAACCTTTGTTTGATATTCGATTCCTAATGAAAGTTCCTGAATAAATTTTTCAATCTAATGCTACTTTGTTTTATCTACTTAATCGTAGCAAGAAATTTGTGATATACGAGCCTCTCAGCATCTAGTTCATATGTAATAAATTTAAGTGGTTTAGTACATGTCTTCGTCATTTTCTTGGGAAAGCTACAGTCTCGGGTCCTCTTATAACTTATTCTAACCACCATGAGTTGTCGCGGCAGCTGGCGGATGGACACGCGTTACACATCCTAACCGTACCTGCGTCTAATCTCATGACTCCATATTCAAATGCCATATGATAAGCAAGCAATGCCCCTACCCGTACTAATGGAACACTAGTAACTCAAAGGCACCCGGTATGGTACCTTACATTGGTCTACGCACTCGCTTAGCTCTTTAGTGAGAATATTACTAAAGTCCTGCTAAAAATCCCATGAACCGCCTTATCTCCATCAAAACAAATAAGTCTGTATTTGCTGCATATAGCAATTTTATTTTTCAGAACTAGGATATAACAGTTAGAATTGGAGTAAAATGGCAGTATACAGCAGATGCACGTGGTACATGTCTTCATCGATTAACTGAAATATAGAATACGGTTATTAGCTTAACAGGCTTATTTAGAAAGACTAGTGTTTACTTTGAACTTACTGCGTGAGAAAGTTATACTGGAACTACGAATAATGTACGAATCTAGTCTTCCAGGGCGTACGAAACACTCAAACTGGAAGACAGTTGTCCAAAAAAAGGGTCAACATATTAGGCAACGATTGACATCATACCGTACAAAAACACAAATTTGCGAGTGGTGAAATATGATCTATAAAAAAGTGAGTTTAATAACAGTTAATTACCTTTTTACTCCCTGATCATGACCCTTCGTCTTCCTTTAATGGGCAAAACAGCAAACATACACTACACACTGATAGCAGATCTCCGGCTTTTTAATGTTAAGCTTGCTTTAACGCACGACGTAATCAGTACAACCCCTCTATTACTGCTATATGGCATATTTTTCATAACAAACCCTCTGCAATAGATTGGTAGCATCTGTGACTTCATCTATGGTTATCGGAAGTCTGAGTCTTTTCGAAAACAATACTGATATCCCCTATTGCTGTGCACTTTCTATTAGTTTGATTCGTTGGTGAGATAGTGTTGTCCATAATACTGGAGAAAATTGAAAAACGGAGATTGTTTCCTTTCATCATAAAGGAGAGTTAGGAAAGAACATGCGGACAGCTATTCACAGGCGGCAACAACAATTATTTTAGCTAAAAACGAGCTTCGGCTTTGGATATCCAGAAAACATGTCAAAACAATCCAATAAGACTAGTAAGCTTGGCTGAAGAGATACATTGACTTCAGTAGCAGCAGCCAAAACCCAGAAAACAATGCAAAATGAGGAAAAGTTTGCTCCAACATTTAGAGTATTACATCAACTTTCGCATTTTAGCACACTAAAACATTAAATTCTGTAGCATTACAAGAGAAATAGCAGAAAAAGCACAGAACGAAGAAAGCCGACTGCCATTGCTTACAAAGATGACGGATATAATAATTCCCGCCTCATTCTGGTTGGCTGCTAAGCTGAAGGCCACATTTACGGGATTGAGTTGCGTTTAATAGCCGCTCACTGTAAGTTTTCGACATTGGATGCTGATCACATGTTTTAATGGACTAACCTAGCTGAAGGCGCTCGGTCATGCATCCGCACCAGATCATGAGGGTGAACGCCGTGCTCACCATCTACTGCAATCGCTAGCCAGATTAGATCAGGCAATTTGTTGTACCAGATGACGTCTGGCTCACCAATGAAGATGGCTCAAGTATTCAGAGTTTGACAACGCTTTAACCAGTAACACCTAATAAAATGCGTACGCACCAACAGAAATCAAAAGACAGAATCGAGGAGATCGGAAGACTTATTTGATGACTATCAATAAATCGAGAATCGTCTCATCTAGTCTGGTTAGTGATTGCAGTAGATGTTGACGACGGCGTTCACACTCGTGATCCGGTGCGGATGCATGACCGAGAGCCTTCAGCTAGGTGAGACCATTAGAAGATGTGGTCAGCATCCAATGTCGAAAACTTACAGAGCTACTTATTTTGGGGATTTATTTAACTCTCTAGTGCATACCTGACTAATCGAAGGGTATTATTCAAATGAAAGTAAAACTTACAGGTTAGCTACGTGGCTGTTTAATTTTTAAACATCAACAGCAAACTGGGTAGCTCGTCAATCTCACATATTAACATTCGTTCGATTGACGAAACCTGATAATGAACATTAACTAATTATTGTAGGTAAGAGATTCGCGTTGAACGTATGTACAAATGAATAATTATTGAAACGCGACCTTCTCAAGTTTTGGACACTGAACACGATCTTATACGACCTTATGTGTTGAGAACTTAAATACGTTACTTAATACTGCGCACTTCATTCAGACTATAGCTTCGTCATAATGAAAATTCACCATAGTAAACAGATGCGCCCACCTGGTCTGTGGGAATGATTTTTGGAATCTTGACAGTTTTTGGTATTATTTCCTTCACAATAACCAGTAAGTTATTTTAATTCTTTAAGTGCTGTATTATTGCTACGATTTACAACATAAGTAGGGGAGTGGATTTATTGTTCTCATAGACTAGTCCATGAACTTGTACAGGCCTTTGTCTGATGCCTGCATGCTCAAGGCGTAATGTCAAATTTGTTTCATCTGTTTTTCTCTTGTCCAAGTTTACTGTTTAGTATCTTTCTTGCCCATAGCGTGCCAACTCAAGGAACCTTGAGTTATTTCGACTCTTTGCACTTAAAGGACTACGACCATACGTTAGTTGTAAATGAAGACCAACTGAACAATCATTCAGAAAAATACATACAACTAATTAACATCAGTGTACATTCCAATATCTTATTTAGAACTCTAAGATGTTTGGCTGGCTATTGTTTGGTCTACTGACTTGAGCTAACTATTTGACCATCTAAAGTAGCTGAAGATCTTAAAGCACTGTGATTTTTGAAGCGAAAGATGACCTAATCACTATTTTTCTCAAACGTTCGATTCAGATAGCATATTTATGACGTCTTTTGACTTTGCATAGAATAAAATTACACAATCTTTTGTGTATACCGGCACATTCGAATAAACCGTGTTGACCGTAGTTTTTGAAAGACCGGTTGATCTATTAGGATGGGTAAGCTTATATATTATCAACTCCTTTGTATGAGTCCAAAAACTGATAAACACGGGTGAATATTTTGTTTCATTCAAATAGGAAGCTTTATTTGAGTTACTTAATAAGGATAAGAAGTATTGACAGTTCTGTTCCGGTTAATTGCCACCCAAAACTTTAGTTAGGTTGATTTTCAGACTTATACAGGAGCTTCTTCCTTTACTGTTATGTTAAGTAGACTATTATCTTAAATCTATTATATTTTATGTATATTCTGCATGTCGACAGTATCATAAATTGGTAAGCTGAACGCGTAATCAATGAATGCACGTTTTGTATACGGCCGAAGTTTAAGTAGACAGTTTACAATGGTTCGATGTTAAGTATAAAGCGTTAGAAGGTGAATTTCAAATCGCTTCTCAAACGAATACTAGTCTTTTCCTTTCATGTCCAGGCTCCAAAACCAATCTCTTTGCGGTTTGCTGCCCAACTTAAAAATTGATTTGAGGTTTTATTATAGACATGAAATTGTGTTACGGGATCACGAGACAGGACTTAGTGTCTAGAAACATTTACAGAATTAAAACTCACTGAGGAATGAGTTTCTTGATTTTAGAAAAGAGTGTGGATTCTGAACTGGTTCATTATTGCACTCAGCGGCTTATGTGTATTCTAGAAGCTTTTGTTTGGTGGGACGAATCTTTAATTCCGTCTGAGTATCTAAACATGAATAGGATTTTATTCATATTGTCTTGCATTTGCCTGTATATAATCCGAAACCAAAAATGCCAAATCAAAATTGTATACTTTGCTTACTTAATTACTTACGCCTGTTACTCCTCGTGGAGAAGCATAGGCCGCCCACCAAAAATCACCATCCAACCCTGTTCCGGGCAATCCTTTCTGGTTGTTATTCGTCCTTTTCATATCTGCTTCTATTTTCCGACGTAAAGTGTTCTTTGGCCTTCCTCTTTTCCGCTTCCCTCCAGGGTTCCAAGTTGGGGCTCGCCTCGCGATGCAGTTTGATGATTTGCGTAATGTATGTCCTATCCATTTCCATCGTCCTTTCCTAATTTCCTCTTTGGCCGGAAGCTGGCTTGTTCTCTCTCACAGACAACTATTTATAAATACTCGTACTTTCTTGATGATGGTTGTAGTAGTTCTACAAGTTCCAGCTCCGTACAGTAGAACTGTCTTGACGCTCGCATTGAAGATTCTGACTTTGATATTGGTTGAAAGTCCACCTGTAAGTCTCCCAGAGTTACCGCCGGTCCCAAGCTCGGGTAAAAAAGGAGGGTTGGGCATGGAGTTAGCGACCCCATCCCGTAGAAAACTAACTCGCTATAAAAACGCCAACCGGAAAAAATAATTCAAAATTTGTATAGTTGCTCATACATTTGTAGGTTTAGAACTAAGGGCGATTTCAATATTTACTGGTAATTTGAAGAAGTATGTTTTGGCATTAGGTCATCTGTGAATGATCAATAGTAATGTAATTACCATAATATTACTAGTAGACGACCTTTCACACAGAAGGAGGCCTAATTCCAATGTATTGATCAAGTAAAATAGTTTATCGTGAATAAATTGATCACACGTTGTACATGAAACGAGTACAAGAAAACATTTGTCGTTTAATAGCCAATTTGGTGTATTGACTCATTAGTAGAATTGACTGAAAATGTTTCAACTGGTAGTTAGGTAACTTCGTCAGATGTCTTTGTCTTTTTATCGTTTTTTTGTAACTATTCCTGGACGTTATGACGAACGAACCTGAATTATACACTAAACTAGTCTTGTGGTGAAGGTTGTTACCACTTTCAGTTAGTTATTAATCTGCCAATCTTCAAAATTCGTAAATTTGGGCAAATATTGTATTTTTGATGAGAGACTTAGGTTTCATTAACCTTTTGATAATCATCTTCCTTCAGTTGAATGAGGTCAGGAATCTTGTGTTAAATTTTGTTTTAAACGACATCATCGTTGATCATTTACCGTGACTAAAATAATTTAAAATGTCTTAAACTTAGTGTGTTTGGTCTTTTTTGGATGTTTTTTTGCCTTTTATTTAAAGTACATATTTTGTATTTTTCTCTTTTTTCGATGTTCAGGAGCATGGTTTTTTTACTTAGTTGTTTTTTATATTTCCAACCTAGCAGTTTTTGATCAGTAATTTTCTAAGGAATTAGTGCTTTTTTATATCAAACGAATATACTTGTCTTTTCTTTTTGCTTAACTTAATGTACATTTTGTCCGTTTTCGATATCCATAATCATATGTTCCGTTTTTACCTTGCTTTATGCTTAGTGATTACTTAAGTTTGCACTCAAAGCTCTTATTTTTATATTTTGCTAAATGTTTTATTGACAAAACTATAGAAACGGTCGTACCTCTTTACTACATTTGTCGGTTTACTAGATATTAGCAGTAAACTTTCACAAAGTGTTTTTAGGACAATCATGTTTTTCAAACGACTCGAAGGACAACCACGTTTATCACTTGTTTCTTCATTGGTGTGTTAGTTTCATTGATAATAAATTAAGACAAATTTTGGATCATTACTTTGACATTATGTAGAACAGAGCCTAAACGTTTTAGTCAGGCAGAGTTTTTAGAGATTGCGACCGGTCCTGATGGCCATTTACTCTATATATAGCCATGTTTTCTGCACCACGTTTTTGAGTAGGAAAAAATAGAATTTAGAAAGCAAAAGGCTTGTTTGACATTCAATATAATAATACTTCAATGAACAAAGATCTGCTTCAATTCTAGTTTATCCTTGGATTGCTATGTAATGAACTTAAGCTTTGAATTGTGATTATGTGTAATGTGATCAAAATTTGTATGCGGTTTTGATAGTTTAATTCTTGGTTGAATGTGAGCTTATTCATTTTCTTGTAGTGACTAGTTAACCCCCATTGTTTTCTTTTGACCTACACGTTCATCTTTAAGAACTGAGGTACACAACAATCAAAATAACAATATGGTTGTTTATAATGAATTCCTAAACTTTACACAAGTCAACTATTTTTATGATTAATTTATGGTGACTAAAATAATTTAAAATGTCTGATACTTAGTTTGTTCTGTCCGTATTTAAGCTGCCTGTCTTATATTTTTTCTGTGTTGTTTCTTGACTTCTTTTTTGTTGTTGATCTTTTGTTATATGTGGTTTTTTGGTACTTGTTTGCTGTTTGTTGCTGTTATTTCAAGCTTTTTGTTTGATTTCATACATATACTGCTCTCATACTTCTATTATGACAATTTTTCTTATCGTCTCTTATTAGGGATTTTTCAGATTTCTTGTTTTTTATTTATTAGTCGTGTTTTACTGTTGAAGAGATTTTATATAATTTCTTTTTACGCGAATTATTATTTCTGTTAATTGTATTGTATTGCGCTTTTCACATTAAATTACTTTTTACCGACCAATATTTTCTCAAAAGCATTAATAATTTCGTTAGTTTCTCACAGAAGTATTTTTGCATAGTCCAAATTCGAACCATTATTATTAGATCTTCCGTGTTCTGCAGTACGTTTAATTTGACACAACTTATTTTGTGTGATGTTTAATTAAGTAAATCGCTGTTCTGCGGTTTTTGAGTTTAATTGTTAATTTCAGTACTCTGTTTATTTATTAAACAGAAGTTAGTTCAGGAAATAATTAAAAAATATTTTTAACATGCTCAATATACTGAACTTCAAGTTGAACGTGAAACTCACGTGACTTGACAGTCATCATCATCTATATACTTAAAGTGTGACTTGCAATAAAGTCGTATTAGTATTTAAGTGAAACGTTTTGACAAAAACGACACCTTGACCCTTTGATAATCATTTATTGGTTACTTAAAAACGTGTGCTATGTTTCTAGTCATATTCTCTGGTGTCTGTTTTAATGCTCGATCAAACTTATGCTTAGTGATTTGTCCATTTTTGTCGTCTATTGTTAATGTTTCTTTTAACAGTAGTTTTAGAGTTAAAACCAATGCACAAAACAGTAAATGTTGTTTAAAAGTATGTGCAATTTTTTGATTGTTGAAATTTAGAAACATACGCTGAACAATTATTCAGTCACTTGATAAATGCCACAGGAGACAACTTGAGAAATTAATGTTATTGGATTTCTGTAAGGCCAAAAATTATGTGATGTCAGTAAGTAGAAAGGACTAAGTTTAATATTTGCTCAACTGAACGATAAAGCCAGTTATTTCAAGGTCTTTGGTGTAAGCTTCTGGGAAATTGTATTTCCTGAGAAATATTTCAAGCACCCTTCATCAAAATGGTTTAATTTATTTTTGTCAACTCCTCCGTCAATACATTTACCAGATATAACAACTTTCTGTTTTCTGAGTAGTATCTTAACAATGATAGTTTATTCGGAGTGTGGAAACGTTTAATAACGCTCAACAACTTCCTTTTTTCCCGTCAATGGTCTCACTAATTGCGCCACAAGTCAATAATTAAATAATATACTAACTTCCAGTTACAGCACCACCCTCCTATTTAGATATTTTTCTTTGGAAAGATCGAGTGATTTTAACTTGTATAAACGAAATGTGGCTATGTGTTTATGGTGAGCGTTAAAAAATTTGGGAAAACATATGCTGGTAGTGATTTCATGGTCACATGTTCATTCTATCCATTTGGGGGATTAATAAACAGAAAGCAAGTGCTTCGTCTATGGATAATTGTCAAACGTTCTAAGTGCCTAGGGTAACAGAAGAAAATTACTCTGTGACGATTATCTATGATTCACCAGTTTTTTCTGATTCTACGTTTTCAAATTCTGAAAAAATAAAACTTCAAAGAGTCCCTATTCATTTTTAAAGATAGTAAATTATACATAGAAAATATCACTTAATAATGTGTGATATGATTAACCGAAATAAGCGCATTATTCTAAACTTTTTTTTCAAAATTAGTCCTCTACATGAAATACATGTAAGAAATATTTCTCGAGTTCATTCAATTGTGTCCTCTTTCTCAACAACCTTATATTTATAAGAGATAAAAATGTCAGCACTATTAACTCGAAAATTCAATAACCAATCAATTATTTTTTTTCTAAATATTTTAAGAGTCACTTGATGCTCTGTGGCAAGAAAGTTCATGGGATTCTACCTGGGATACATGGTGGCATTACAAAGAAGGTGTAATAGGAGGTATTTTATCATATGTCCAAGAATTTTGTCTAATTAATGATTTTTTAGCTGTATATATATAGTGCCTAAGATCTAACTACCAAAAGTATCCTCGAAGTTTTAGCGCCTTACTTACACTTATAGATACAATTCTTACACGGGTTAATGTTTTATTAACCAGCTATCTACTTATATAACGTCAGTTTACCGTGACAATAGACAACCCCTATACTGATAATCAGCATGCGCTCACTAGTGACTAACTTCCTGAGGGAATTCTCAGAGTTGTAGTGGGAAGCCATGACCAGTGGAGCTAGTCCATGTCGGGTAGAGACAGGTATCTACCTCAGTACAATGGAAGATGGTCGTGCAATTTCGTGTATTGGTTGGTGTTAGATACTAACACAATTGGATGCTGGCCCAGTGGTTTAGAGGTTAAGTGTTCGCGCGCGATACTGAAGGCCCTGGGTTCAAATCCCGCGAGCGGGCTCGTGGATGCGCACTGCTGCGGAGTCCCACACTAGGACGAAACGACCGTATAGTGTTTCCAGGTTTTCCTTGACGGCCTAGGATCAATTGACTTATGAACTTAACTATTCAATTTTAATTGTATCGATAACATGGCTTTTTCCTCTTTTTTTCATAATAATAATGGTTATGAATCAAAAAGGTAACTAATTTTATTTAATTTGTGCATTCTTAGTGGAAATCGTATTATTAAGTTGAAACAGAATAATAATTTAAGCAAAATGAATAACTGTTAACAGGTAAATGATACTGAAAAAGTACAAATTACATAACTTGTTAAAGCATCTGATAAGCTAGAATTTTTTCAACCTAAATTTATAATCAAACAATTATTTTTAAATAAACCAAGCCATCACTGCTATCTCATTAATTCATTAATTAAAGTTGGTTCAATGGGACATCGAAGTATATATGCGCTACACAATGATAATCAGGTTGTAAAGTGATAGAGGAAGGAAAGTGAGTGCTTCCAGGTTTCCTACAGTGGTTCATGATCATAATCAAAAACTTGATAATCCCCACAACCCCTATGCTGATAATAATAATAATAATAATAATAATAATATGATAGCCAAAATTGAGGTTTGCTTATTCTTACACTTAACACAATGAAAAATGAGTTTAAACTTAACAGCGTCAAAACGTTATAAATGAAGACTTGTACATCAATTTCGATATATGAATTTGACTAACCCGATTACTAATTATTCAACTCAGATGCTTTTTTCATCGTGATATTATAAGAGTGCTGTTAAGCCAATGAGCACAATGTTTTTATGGTTTTTGACTGAATCGGTTAGATTCGCTAAGGAGAGAAACTTACCCTATAGTAATATATGTTCGTCTTGAGGCTGCTGTTCAACAAACATAGTTACACAGCACAATATTGATGCGAGGCAAAGTTTGAAACGTTGTGAGCATTTACAACATACAGATTTGAAACGAATTCATTGTGGCGGACGAACAAATAGAAATAGTTTTAAGAATCTTACGGTATTGTACCAAAAATAGCACCAAAACCATTGCAAATTATGTACTCAGGATCTACTATCGCAGTTGCTTATAACGAACTTAGTCATTATTTATGAAAAAATTCCGTCGACTGCAAACATAACGTGACCAAAGTTAACTTGTGCCGAATGCTTACACTTGATGGTATGTTGATCCGATTTCTTTGAAAATAAATGATATTTTCAAAAGGGGTTTTGTGTAGATTCTTAGACATTTCAATAGTTGGAATCATGAGCCAATTGAAGCTAGACCACCATGGAAAACCTGGAAGCGCTGGGCGGCCGTTTCGTCCTAGTATGGGACTACTCAGCAGTGTGCATCCACGATCCCGCCTTCCGCGACATTCGAACACAGGACCTATCAGTCTTCAAGAGGCATTTACTGGGGTTCTATTGAGATGCCGTTGCCAGTGGAGTTCAACCAGGTCTGTTGTGAGACAGCAACTCACTGAAGACAACGGTGTACGGTGGCGCAATTTCGTGGATTGGTTGAAGTTGGACATTAACAACGTTGGATGTTAGCCGGCTCAGTGGTCTAATGGTTGAGCGTTCATGTGCGAGACTGATGGGTCCTGGGTTCGAATGTCGCGGGAGGCGGGATCGTGGATGCACACTGCTGAGTAGTCCCATACTAGAACGAAACGGCCGTCCAGTGCTCCCAGGTTTTCCATGGTGGTGTAGTTTCAATTTACCCACGATTTCAACAAATGAAGGGCTACACAGGTTTACTGTAAAACAAATTCGAAATTCGCATAGGATAACACAGAGAATATGGCTGTCACGTTCAACCGAATTTTACACCTGTCATACTAAACAAAATTCACACCTAATTATTTAGAAACATATTGATCTGAGACAATGATACGCTATAAGAAATAAACCCATTATTGTTCCAACTAAAATATTACACTCAGCAAAAACCCAAAGTCAAATGTCATACCGAAAATAAATAAATATTTCGCTGAATAAAGAACTACCACAACCATCATCAAAAAGGTACAAGTATCTATAAACAATTGTCTACGTAAGATACTCAATATCTGTTGGCTGGATACGATCAGCAACAGCCTACTGTGGGAAGGAACAAACCAACTTCCAGCTGAGAAGGAAATTAGGGAAAGACACTGGGAGTGGATAGGATATAGTGGAGGAATCATCAAACAGCATCACGAGGCAAGCACTAACTTGGAATCCTGAAGGGAAGCGAAAAAGAGGGATGTCAAAGAATAAACTGTGTGGAGAATCAGGAACAGACATAAAAAGGATGAATAGCGGCTGGAAAGAAGTGGAAAGTTTTGTCGAGTACAAAGTTGGGTGGAGAAAGCTGGTGAGCGGTCCATGCTCCTCTACGAGAGGTAACAGGCGTAAATAAGTAAGTACGTCGAAGAAAATGTTACTTTGAAATTAAAAGACGTTGAAGTGCTATAATTTGATCAAAACTACTGTCTTGAAACGTTACACTGATTTAGAGAAAATTATTAAAGTTGCCTACCTGTCCCAATTTATTGATAGGTCAAAGCAAATTTATGTGCAATACGAGAATTATTTTTTAGCAATCCCATGGTAAATCGATAAACTGACTTAATTTCCCCCGAATATTATTACTTACATTTTAGCATACTTCACTCAGCTAACCGTTATTTTATCCACTTTAATATTAAATTTCCATACATCCGTGAATTTTACTTACTCACTCCTTAAAAATTAAGTAAATTTTTTAAGATCTATAATTACTACTCAATTTGTCTTTTGCATTAATAAAGTCTTCCGGGCTTTACATTTTCTATATTTTCCCTCAAATGACTTCGCACATGCATGTATATATACAATACTGACAATCCATTGTTATTTTAGTTTTTCAACAACCAATGATTACTACTTGAAACTATGTTTTATTTCAGTATAAATACGTTTGTGGCAAGACGATGAAAACAACTTCATAAAAATGAACTCCTATAAATCTGCTTCCACTAACATTCTTGGTTTTTTAAAATTCATGAAGGAAATATATCTTATAAAACTGTCATAATTAGCGGATATTTACAAACAGTTGCAATGTCTGTCTTTCGTATCAGAGTAATCATTTATTAATATTCTTTTTCTCTTCTCACCAAGGTCCAAGTAACTGGGGGCAGACGGCGCTCATGGCTATTACCAGTGACATTTGGTCAGTTTGCTATCAAGGAAAAATGCAATCACCAATCAATATCTCTACAAAGCATTTAGTATTTGATACTAATTTGGAACCTATAAAAATACTAGGCTTAGATAAACAGGTAAGTGCTCAGTCCGAAATACGTAGTTTTTTAATGTTCTGTAGCCGACTTAAAATATAATGGTTCGTTTTGAAGTAATTGGGCGTTACGTTTTTTGTATTCTTATTAAAACATGTTTATTATTTTATTGCTGTATATACTTGTAATCATTAGTTATAATCATGAATAAGATACAAAATTTTAAAGTTTAACTGTCATATTATTTTATAACAAAGTGTTAAGTTTTGTTTCGCATTTCAAACCATTCTGACATTAGGCTAGATATAAATCAGGTAATGGTCGGTCAATCACACATTTTTATGATGTATAATCCACAATATATTGTTTAGTTAACAGATACTAAAAGTATGCTTGCATGATTCTTTCAGATTGATGTGGAGATAGTGAATACTGGACAAGATTTACAAATGAAATTTCTTGATTCAACAACAATAATTATATTCAGTGAAGGACCATTGGTATATGACTACAAGCTGTTTGGTGCTATTATAAAATTTGGTTCAAAATCAAGCCGTGGTTCAGATCATCAAATTGACGGTATTGCGTTTCCGGCGGAGGTAGAAATTTTGACACTATTAGATGAAATTTTTAATTGTTGTGTGTGAATCGCAATTAATCTCATAGATTAAGATGTTTCTGATGATTCATTTAATACACTAAATGAAACAGATGTTGAGTGCTTTAAAAATACATATGAACTATACCTAGTGACTGAAGAGCAACTATTATTTTAATATGATAACAATGTAGTTCACCTTCGCTTTTAACGAAAGTAGGAGAAATGTAACTAAGATCGCTTGTGATGCATTCGAAATATCATAATCTATCAAATTTCATCAGGAAAGCTGTGAATTCTTGTGCAAATATGTATTCTGTGCTTCAAATTCTTCATTGTAATTCTAAATATTAAAATAAATCTAGAAAAATGAAAGAACCAGCACCATAAATTCGAAAACATGTTCCCAAGTGTGGATATTCGAAGGGAAATTGATATCAGTCAGGTTCCGAAACCCGGTTTTAAGTAAATACTGCTCCTCAACTCCCGAATGAGAGATCATCTGTCATTAGCACATTTTTTCAATCAAATTTAGTTGTTTATACTCTTATTTGTCCAAAATAATAATGGTTGTAATTCATATGCCGTAAAATCTATCTACATAATTGTATGAATGAAATAATTTAAAGCATATGTCGTCTAACCTCTCCTTCTGTAAGTTACTCTTGCAATACACTTGATTAAATTTTAGTAAGTTATTATTTTATTAGTAAAAGTTGACTGATTTAAACAAAGTAGAGATGAACCCACTATCAAGAATGATTTGAATACTTTATGATTAGTGAGAACACAATCATGGCGTAGACTACCGCTTTGCTACTTCTGAAAACAAAAGTGACTGATGATGACATTTTTAATATTGGAGAAATGATAAAAGTTGATTGACGCCTATTAAAATATTCATTTTGTAAGTATTACAAGAGAAAAAGAAACAATAATGTATTGATAAGTATGACAGTTGAAAAATAGGGCAATATAGGTTAGCAGGTGGTTTAAAACAATTTATTGACCTACATTGAATCATACATTCATACCTTCAGCTTCGTATTTCTAAACGAATTTAAAAATGCTTGCACTGATTAATGACCGTTATGCCAAAACAAAGATGGTTAAGTTATCATTTAATAAAAAAGTTGATATTTTATCACAATGGCGATTCGTTTTGATGAAATTTAACCATTACACCAAAACCAGTGACTTCTTACGTCATGTTCAATTACAATATTCTTACTGTTTTGATATCACCAACACTTTTCCCACATAATTCTAATTTATTGATCAACTGAGAATTAATGTGATAATATTTTCACATTGTATTACACAATTTGGTCAAATATTTTATACCACTGAAAGTTTGTAGAACAGTACTCTTTTACAGATACTTATTAATTGTTATGCATAGATTGAAAGTAAAAAAAATATATTTCGTATGAAATGATTTCATAAACACTATTAGAAAAACTGAAAGCGTCTTGATTTTCCTATGGGATAAATATAGTGTCTCGTCGAAATAATTGACATTTATTCTCCTCAGACGTATACTTCTGAGTTCATTATTTATGAAACCTGATATTTTACATGGATTTCAATACTAAAAATATTTGTAACAAGAACGATCTAGTTACACTTGAAATACCGTGCATCTTAGTACATGGAGTGATTGTACCACTTTTTGAATAAAGGTGGACAGATGTAATTTGCCGCTAATGTAGTAGCACAGAATTTATGAAACTTCTATTATGTAATTACGTCTTATATAATGAGTCCTTCCATTGAAGTTTGTGATTATTTCAGTACGAGCTAATTTATTAAAAATAGAAAAAATGTGACATTTATTATGCCAAGAATACATTGTTTTTTTTGTATTGACAGCTACAATTATATGCATTCAATTACATTTTATATCCAAATTTTTCTGTTGCACTATCTAAACCGAATGGGTTGGCTGTATTATCTATCTTATGTCAAGTAAGTGATTCTTGCACATTATAAATTATTTTTATTGAAATGACTGTTGTACTATACCAAAATTTACTGAATCAGCAGCGCACTGATATGTCTAATAACTCCTTAGTTCGCTTGAATAATAATAGAAAATGTTATTTAATCCCATTTACTCAACATCAACTTGTTTAGTTATGGGTTACTTTTTAAAAAACATGCAAAAACCAAATACCAAGTATAAATACAAGAACATTTATTCACAGAATTTTCATGCATTTCAATTGTTATTCTTACTTGTTGAAAAATATTTTACTTGTCCACTAGTGAAGCATAAATAATAGTTCTTAGACTTAATAACGGTATAAATAAATGTATCAAAATTTAGTTGATGCATACAATGGATTTAAATCTGTCTCATTTTGCTTGATTAAACGGTATAATTCCTTATATTTTCTATTGAGAAAATTGAAATCATTATAATTGCAAGTTTTTCACGACAGACGTTGTTTATTCTTTAGACTAAAACACTGACGAATTTGGAATTTATGTTCTAGGAATGCTTCGTTAAGTGTTCTAATAGAAAAGAGTTGTGTGCACGAAATCTAGGCAATAAAATCAATTTAATAATAGTATAGTTATATTTATTTTACTGTCAGTAGTATAAAATATGATTTATCGACTGGTTTTTATTTTATACAAACAATTAACTTAAAATCTATGTCAAAAAATGACTTCCGATAATTATTATCATTAGCACAACAATGATGAGAAAAGTCAGCTCTTTTTATTACGGTGGTCAATTATTCGAGTGTTTTGTAAACGTTTACATTAGGAAGAACAAGTTTTGAATGACATATATATCTTTTTGACTTAGTCTGCTATTTAAAACATTTAGTCTCTTAGATAAATTTTGATAATGCAATGAGAAAACGAAGTTTATCAGAATTAGGTGATATATTTTCGCAATACATTTCGAACGATCTGTGTGTGTGGTAACGCGTACATAGTGAAGAGCAATCGTAATTTCCAATTAAGGGTGGGTGAACACATACCAAAATGGCTTCAGAAGCAAATGAATTCCAGTGATCAAATAAGATCGAAGGATAGACAGACGTCTTCCCCAATTGCGAAACATGGGATGGAGACTGATCATAACATTGATATCAAGTCAGAATTTGTAGTATTGTACAAAAGAATTCAAGGACGTATACTAAGGTTTATTGAAGCGCTGGCTATACGGAAACCGAAACCCTCTTTATGCGTTCAAAACAATTTGTCCCTACACTTAACATGCCCTGATAATACTGATTTATTATTTAGAGTGGTTATCACATTGTTTTTCTGTAATTTATTATTTTTTAGTTTGTTACGAGTTATCTTTAACCTGTCTAGTTGACCTTTTAATTTCCATATAAAAATGTTCTTAACAAGTATATGTGTGATCAGATTGTTTGAAATGTATTGCGTAAATATATCACATAATTCTGATAAACTTCATCTTCTCATTGCATCATCGAAATTAGTCAGTTATATATCGAGGATTATACAATCAAACAACAATTTTGAATAATTTAATAGTAAGGCTATGTATCCGAAAAAAGCAAACTCGGACGAATATACATGGATTTTGACTAAGCTGGACAATAATATCTTCTAGAAACAACAGACTTGTGAATCGATAATGGTTTAACTTCATGCAATGTTATTTATAAAATCGAGCGCTCATTGAAAATAAAGTTAAGAATATTTACTGTAAGGTGATCAGTCACATTCATTACGAAACAACCATAGAAAATATCAAAATGTTATGTAGGTGTAAATAACATAATTGATGATGAGTAAATCATAAGATATGAACGATGAGTGCGCACTTGAGAATTGTGGATGGTAGAAATCACAAAGGAGTTACAAGATAAAGTATGTAGTGTATAATTTATATACGTTCGTGCTTAATCGTGTATCCATCACTTTTAATAAGCATGGTTCTCTTAATAATAAGTAATCAATTTTGATCAATACAACGTTTTCCATATTATGTTATACCTTTACGGAGTTTCGTCATATTGATTAAAACCATATAATGAGTATTCCCATTCTATTTTCAGTAACTTCAACTTTATAAATAACTCTATTTATTAAACATGTATGCAGTGCAAACATTAACTATTTGTAATACGCGTTACTGTTCCAGTTGATCACAAACATGTGAAAATACCTGCTCCATTTCAAAATTTTGTCCCACTTTTACAGCCATGTGATGACATTCATCAAGAAGCTTTATTATTATGGAGTATGTATTTAAATAGTATAAACACAATTCAGTTTTTAGTATAGGGATTGTATAAATTATCAAGTTTTTGATTGAGATCATGAACCGATTGATGTTAGACCACCATTGAAAACCTGGAAGCACTATACGGTCGTTTCGTCCTAGTGTGGGACTCCGCAGCAGTGCGCAACCACAAGCCTGTGCGCGGGATTCGAACCTAGGGCCTTCAGTATCGCGCGCGAACACTTAACCTCTAAACCACTGGGCCAGCATCCAATTGTGTTAGTATCTAACACCAACCAATACACGAAATTGCACGACCATCTTCCATTGTACTGAGGTAGATACCTGTCTCTACCCGACATGGACTAGCTCCACTAGTCATGGCTTCCCACTACAACTCTGAGAATTCCCTCAGGAAGTTAGTCACTAGTGAGCGCATGTTGATTATCAGTATGGGGCTTGTGGAGATTATTGAATTTTTGATTGAGATCATGAACCTAACACTAACACCATTGGATGCCAGCCCGATGGTTCAGTAGGTTAAGCGTTCGCGTGCGAGACTGAAGGCCCTGAGTTCGAATCCCGCGAGCGGGCTCGTGATTGCTCACTGCTGAGGAGTCCTACAATAGAACAAAACGGCCGTCCAGTGCTTCCAGGCTTTCACTGGTGGTCTAACACCAGTCGGTTCATGATCTCAATCAATCATTAGTTTATTATTAATAGTATTAAAGTAACTATTCATAAACTCTGTAGGTCGGTGTTCAGTCGTCAGCTGATTTGGAAGCTATATTTTCTATAGCAGATCATGTGCAGTTGAAAGGTATGTCATTACAGACAGCATTGTCTATTATTCATTGTTTATATATTGACGTAATAACAATAAATTATTACTTCGTTAAAATTATAGTTTTACTTTTTATTAGAGAAAGACAGATTTTAATTCATAAATTTCACATTCTTGATTAAGATTTAAAATGAGTTATTTTGTCGTGAAATTATGAAACACGCTATCATCATCAAATGATTGACAAACCAACTATTGTTAGTGATATTCTTATGTTGTATGAAAAAACCAAACACCTATGTATTTTCTAATCATTCAATTGTTATAAGAATTTATATTACAAACAATATACAGGTATATAAAGCATTCATAAATGTATGGATAAACAAAACTAAATACAAGGGTAATGTTTCATGGTTAAATAGAAATATGTCATTGATCTCTCACAATAAAACCAACTTTAGATGATTTCATACCGAATTAATGAAGTGAAATGAACAATACACTACTAGATACGTACCATTCAATGGCCCGCTTTATGTCTTTGTAACTAGTTACGAAGAGAAAATTAATTTAAAAAATGAATTATTTTTTAAACCTAAACTATGAGTAGTTTGTAATATTATGGTGATGTACTATTATTGCCAACGAAATTTTTTGGAAAGAATTGGATGCAAGAAATATTTTGATCTGGTTTCTTTTGTGTTTAGTGAAAGGCGATCTAGTAAACTTTAGAGAAAGCTTTATTGTAGTCGATCAACAGAGTTATTAGGTAAAATATGTGTAGCTTCGTTTATTCTTAGATAATATATGGGAACTTTATTTAAATATTGACAGTAAATGAAGCCATTCTAGTGTTAGGTTGAATAGAATTCGAACATGGCTATAAATTATTACTAAAATCTATTAACTACAAAAAAAAGTAACACACAATATCTTTGAAGAGAAACTAAAGAAATTCTAGTGACGAAAATCCTTTTTACTACAACCAATTAGTAATGGTTAATGTACGAATTTTCATAGCTTAGTTCTGTCAAACAGGGAAAGTAACTTAATTCAATCTTTATTCTGAACATCTAGTAGAATATGCTCTAAAAACAGAACAAACGAAGAAGTGTTCCAACCTCGATAAATATTCATAGAAACTGTCTATCCATTCAAGTTCATTAAACCTAGACTTCAATATACAACACCTCCGGTTTTAAAAAATCTCTTCCCATGAACAATAAGTTTGAAGGAGATACTGTTGTAGAAGTTCTGAAAATTTGTAGAACGGAATCTTTAGGAAAACTATTTTTATAGCTATCAGTCATTCGTGGATATATCAGAGATAAACTCCTGAGCCAATTAATAAGATATGCACTAAAGAGGAGTTAGTAAATCATTTTCTCAAGCTTGAACGCTGTGTGTGAAAGCGACACCTGTAAGGTATTACTCTTCTATGGGCCTAACGCCTAATTTTTCACAGACGGCAAATTGTTACTAATACGTTTTTCTAATGTTCCTTTTTTTACAAATCATTACTATCGCGTTCTCCTTTTTTCACTCACTATTGTCACATTCGTTTAGTGGATAGTTGTCTTTCATGCATTAGGTTCTCTTTTATCATTCTCCCCTAAATTATCAAATGTTACGTGCGTTTCCGAAATTACATAGTCGCTCTTCTATTTTCCAATGGACCACATTATTTGTTCATCGGTTATAAATATCACTGTACAAATCGTTCAAATGATTTTATTGAAGACGATTGTTTTTTAGGTATAGCTTTACTCTTATCAGACATTTAGAACAGTTTAACTGTCATTAACACAACTTGCAAAACAATTAAAATTTATTAATTGTATCAGTAATTGTGATTTAATCCATCTCATTTTGAAGTAGTTTAACGATTACACTCATATATAATTAATGAAATTTTATAAAACTACTTTCTTCAGCCTTTGGTTCATTTATTTAGATTTTTATTTGGCTAATGAAGTTCAATTTTATTTTTTTATTTACCCTCTCTTTTGTGTAGGGCAGTTTAAAAAGCTTCACGGTTTGTTGTTAGAAGGTATAATACCATCAACTGTTCACTATATGACATATCAAGGTTCTTTACCTTTTCCTGCTTGTTATGAAACAGTCACTTGGATTATACTCAATCAACCAGTTATAATCACAGAAACACAGGTAAACATAAATTAACTTTAAAGGATAGTTTAAATAAAATATTACCATACTGATAATATATTGCTAAAATGGACTTACTAAATACGTGTTAATCGACAAAGTAATTTCTGTTTATCTATTCTTAAGTATATAAATATTTTTTAAATGAATATTTTAAAGTAACATAGAAAATACACTAAATAATCACGTTTCTCATTAAGGAATATATAGATATCAAACAACTCATCGATTAAAATTATCAGGTAAATCTTCATTGATTAAAAGCCAATAGAAATAATCCGACTACTGAAAAATTTGTTAATAAATAAAACGATCATAACCATTGAGTATAGAAAGTATGTTGCCTTCAAGTTGAGTTACCATTAATTATTTTTTACAAAGCTAAGAATTTTATTATGGCTATTCTCTGAAATACTTCACTTCATTGTTTTACTGTTTGTTACTTTTAGCATTACTCTTAATATTTCTTAACTTGTTTAGATTAGTTACTATTATCATTGATTAGGTCATATATGTGCTTGGACTAAAATTGTTACATAACATTAGGTTGACAAGATGAAAATAACAAGATAGGTAAGAAATCAAAATAATTTTATGATAATGATCATGAAAATGCGACTGTACATTGTAAAAATATCGTTCAAAAGGACAGTAAGAATTCTATTCAGATGAATTGTTGGAAACCAATACTGGAAAAAAAGGATTAAGAGTTAATACATCAACACCATTGTGAATGATTTTAGAAAAAAACCCTTTAAGTGTACTTTGAAGCAAATATCGCGCCAAACTTTATTGATTTAAATAATAAATTAACCATTTACAAATTGGCTATCTTCTTTCCACGTAATAGCTTAGATTTAAGAAAGATATTGTTATAATATTATTTACTATTTGAAGAACACTGGCAAATAATTTTGAAGTTAAATTAAATCGACCACCAAGTGGTTCTTCATTGATATTGTGGTGCGTGCTACTTATATTGACATAAGTAGTATATAACGCGAGTCAGGAATGTAATGTCTGGCAGCAGAAATTTGGGAAGATCGAGAAAGGAAGAACGGGAATAGAAAGCAATTAGTATAGAAATGCAAGAACAATGAAGTCCGGGACAATTATTGAACATTTTGCAAATTAGGTATTACAGTATGGTTTTTCCATTTTACCACGTAACTCTGTGACGTTGAACTAAATATAATCCGGTTGTCCTCACCTGTGTTCTCCTTTACTACAATTATATATTCGTTGTTTTTTTGAAAGTAGTTTAACTTGTAACACTACGTAAATGATTATTATAAACTTTCATAATTCAAATTTATACATATCATAGTGAAGACACAATTATTACACATAATAATTGATAACATCACCAAATGAATACCTAATATTTATTTTCTATAATCAAATAGCAGAGATGTGGTATGCATTTTTTTCTAATAAATGTTGTTTCAATAATCTTCTTTAATTTCAACCAATCAAACACCGTTTTAAGCTCATGAACTTATAATGATTCATTCGTCTTTAAGTATAATGATCACTTGTAGATCATTTGGTTTCTCTAGTTTTGCCATTAAAACAATAGTAAGTGTTCAGAAAAATACTCTAATTCTAGTTAATTTTCACTATTTAATTAATGAGTTTTATATACATCCATAATAGTTGTCCATAATGACCAGGCAATTCCAGCTATCACAATTGATTGGTCACTGAATGGTGATCATTATCATGTGTGTCAAGTCCTTATTAGTGCAGATCGAAAGCTATCGACCATGTTGCAATGTGGTCATCAGTCCAGGTGACTCGGCACTGCGTGCACGATCTTGAGATTAGATGGTGGTTTGAGGTGGTCGACAGGAAACTCTGGACCCGGATTTCGTGCTACTTGGCACTCGTCAGCCAGGTGTACCTGTAATCTCGTCTACTCACTGTCGAGTCACCTAGACTGGTGACCACACTGCAACATAGTCCATAGCATTCGATCTGCACTAATAAGGACTTGGCACACGTGACAGTGATCACCACCCAAAGATCAATCAATCGTGATTACATCTCAGTTCTACAGCAGGTTGATCGAGGCCCGGATAGCTCAGTGGTAACGCCTCTGACTGTGACGCGGGGTGACACGCGATCGAATCCATCAGAGAGGGTCAATCTTCTCAAGATTACAGGTACATCTGGCTGAGGGGTGCCAAGTAGTATGAAACTTGAGTCTAGGGTTTCCTGTCGACTACCTCCAACCACCACCAAATTCCAGCTTTCCTTTACTATCCTTTGAATGGGATTTTTTCAATCAGACTGGATATAAAACAATTTTCTATTGACACTAAATATTTATATTATAAATACGTTTTTACTTGTTATTAGCCATATACCTGGATAAAAATCATGGCACACATCGTTTACATGACAAAATCTTTCATAAATTAGTAAAAGTACAGGCTCAAAATTAAAAAAAACTTTACAGTAGATATTTTATCTTTGTTAACCTTATCGTAATCAATAGTTAATTGTTTCCAAAAAAATATAAGTGCGAACGGGAATATAGAAATATACAGTTACGTTATAAATTTTATTAATGTATGGATTAATTAAAAATAACAAAACTTTAACTTCAATATCTCTTCAAATATGTAGTATTTCTTTATACTACATAGACAATATGATGTGATGGAAACTCAATTATTGTTTAACACTTCTGTAAGGTTCATTTTCAAACCTGGACATAAATACTAGTTTATGTTCTTCTAGAGCAACTATGGTAATAAACGTAAACATAAGTACCCGCTGTGGTTTACATAAACGCACTAAAATGAATAACACTTGGGATGTTTGGTTGATAAATTCGCTTATTTTGAGTAATGGTAAAAGTACTGACATTGAAATGTATCATACGAATTGCAAAGCAGAACGATTATATATATATATATATATATATATATATATATATATATATATATATATATATATATATATATATATATACATGATCTCGACTATTGAAATTACTACAACCTCCACAAAACCCCTTCTAATTCATAGTTGCTTTGCATACCGGAGAAGTAACCAAAAAACCTTCAAATAACTCGTATTTTGAACAAGTATTTCATTAGTTTTGTCGCATGTAAAATAAGTAATCATTTGAAATAATTAAAGTATTTCTACTTTATGTGGTATATTGTAAAATGCATATATGTATGAATTATACCAAATGCGATATACATTCACTACCAATGTTTATGTAAAATATGCGTGATTCAAAGGGAACAGACATCTATAGAACAATGTGCCTTTACATTATTTTTGCATTATAGTTAAAATCTCTTCGTCAACTTCGAATTTCTTCATTTCGGGAATCTGGTAGAATGGCTGATAATTATCGAACAATTCAGAAACTTAATAACCGCTCAGTAAGAACAAATATCGACTTTATACAGACTGTAAGTTATATTACTTGTATGGAAAAGTCAAGTGTTAAGTACAGCATATTTATCAAATTCATTTGTTAACACAGGACAGACTTAGCCACTTGAAAGCTCATCTAGAACTGAATTACCGCCATTCGCGTGTATATAAAGTAACTAGAGTTCTGGAGATGTAGCCAGAAAAGTACAGTATTAAACCAACTTTATTCGACTTGTTATTAAAATGTTTCATAGTAGCATTATTAATCGCACATTCGTGTCATTTCTGTGTTGCAGTAAACGAGTCCAAATAGATTAGACATATGTTCAGCATTAAATAGAGTTATGTAGGGTAAACCAATCAAGCAATTTTTCTCGTAATAAACCGTCATCTGTCGTATGACATGGCACCTATTATATCCCATCTCTTAAATTATAATCCGATTACACTCCTATGCTCTCCATTCGGAATAACTTAAGAAAACTAATTGTTTTAATTGTTTACATTCATTCTATCTTATAAGTTACTTCAAAAATACTGCTAGCTGTTGTTCTACTTCAAATATTTGGGCATTTGTAAAAATTCAAAACATATGTGATGAAACAAATGAAACTACTTGCAGTCCAATCTCCTAATTTAAGTTACGTGTGTATAACCATATTTTTTGGCGTGATATTATGAAGTCTAAACATTCACAATATGAATAACTGTGCGCGACTTGTATGGAAGGTAAAATAACTGTTTGAAAGAACAGAAGTAACGTATTGTTAATTCGTTTAGTCAGTATATTAACAATAAATAAACTTAACTCTTAAAATGTTATTAAACATACAGGATACCAGCAAATTCACTGAGTTCTTATTCGGCAAACACAAGTCCAGTCTGTTACGTTGTTATATAAATCGGAATTAGATTAAGCATTCTATATGCTCAAATGTAAGTGACGTACTAACTATTTACATGCATTTTCATCAATGAAAGATAAATATCTGCACAAATAGAAACGTAGTTGTTAATTTTTTGTATTGTTTCATCAAAACAGATTCTTCTACTCACAACCATTAAACATTAGCTACGAAAACAATTGTACATGTGACTCCATAATCAATTTAGAATTTATAATATCAGATGCAATCGGATAATTTACCTTTAGCTGTATATTGTTTTGTTTAAATGTCGTATTTAAATAATAACAATATTAGTATTGTGCATAAATGACACTTCAATAGTACTTATGTTGATCATGAACAAATTATCCTGTCATTTTAAATATCGGCATAAGGATTCCTAAAATATTATTCAATGTTTTCTATTACCTGAAAATGTTTTGTATGACAAGTAAGCTTTATACTGTCAAATACTCTTGATACACATGATTTCTAGTTGAAATTCATATAATAATGACATTAGTTATTTGAGTCGAATTATTTAACTGAAACGATACATCATTTAAAGAACAATCGAGAAAATAATGTTTAATACATTCTAAGTACCATGCAAAATAAAGTTGTATAGGAAATTGTTTACAATGACATGTGCATTACAGATATTCTGAGTATTTCTACGTTTAATCATGCTTCACCAATTCTGTATTTCATGTTTTCCAAAAATATTCATATATGTATATTTAAAATGCTTAATTTTTATGAAACTAAAAATGAGGATCCATTAGGTTTAGTATGCAATATTTGCAACAGCGAAAAATGGCACATGGATAAGAAACTATCCATGGTATGTCATTGGATCTCATTAGTTGATTTACGTCTAAAAATTAAATTCATATAACATTTGTGGCGATTCGTTTTTTTTAAATGAAATACATTTTTAAGAATAACGCAAAAAGCATAGGAAGACTCAACTAGAGTACGTTTAGAGCTTGAAATCATCAGGTATCTATTCCATCTAAATATTTTTTGGAACGCACAACTAAATAAACCGAAACTTATGAAAATAAATAATTTTTAATTTTTTGTTTAAAGTTATTTTAATGATTGAAATTAACAAAATGTAATTAACTTGTTTTATTTGTAAGCAACCATACTGCTCAATGCAATCTAGACGATCTTACATTGGTAAGTTTAAAATACATTTTGTATATTAATAATAATAAATTATCACAATAAATTAAAATGTGTGTATAATTAGTTAGTGAAACATTTGTTTGTTAGATACAAAAGTTTTTCCTTTGATTTTAAAACGAACTATTTGTTTAAGCAAAGATGGATAGTGGCTAGCAGTGGAATCAAGGACGCGCGTTTTATTCTATTTGGAACTGCCAGCCACTATCCATCTTTGCTTAAAAAGCTTGTGACTTAAGGCTATATCGAAGTAATCCGCACAGGATGCACATATTCCAACATGAGACTGATCAATTGCGGTCCTAAATAACAATCCGAAGATACAAGTAAAACAACACCAAGTGAAATATTTGTTTGTTTGTTTTTCAAAATCTATTGTACTCATTCTTTAATTTAACTTATTTTACTAGTAAGACGAAAAAAGGTTACAATGTGAGTCACATCACATAAAATAGAAATGAACTAGTTATAATTACATATGTCACATTTTAGTTATACATTTATCTATTTATCGTTTTAGCAACAAAATGAAATAATATAAGAAATTTGACTGATTGTGAATATTTGAAATCTAATTTCATTGAATAGTATAGTATAAGCTGAATTTTCTAATTACTTAATGCTGATATGATGTGCAGTATGTGTAGTGGCTGTGCTTCGTTGACTGATCACCCTCGTAACCGTTATCATATAATCATAAATCAAAGAGAAGCAGCGACTACAGTTTTATTAGCAGATAACTCAGACCACAGAGCAGCGAACCAAGAGTGTAGAGTGTTAAATGTACATGTATGTATATAGGGAACTGAATGGATCATCGAATCAATTAAGGAGTTAATAATAAAGCTAGCAGAATGAATATATGAGTAGGCGGTAAGCAATGTTCAAGCATACATATTTCACACAAGCAAAGCAAGGATAAAGGTACAATAAGTTGTTCTAGTAAGAATGACTTTGTCCGCTAAGTTAACAAAAGGGCTTAACTGAGTTAAATGAGAACAAACTAAATTGCAAGTGAGTTGCAATATATGTAAAACCGAATCATATTGTTGTTTAACATCCTCTTCGCACATTGTAGTAGAAAAATCATTTGTATTGTTGTAAAATAATTCTTATATTGATACTATAATACAAAAGTACTTGTTTTCTATTTGTGTTTTACTTTTATGGCCTGTTCCAAAATTCTTACTTCATCTCAATTATTTGAATGGAAACGATAACATCATTTTGATGAAATGTTTCAATAGTATCAAAGAAAACTCTTGAAAACTAAAGATTTTAGTCAGTATATTACGATCTTATTGAATGAGGATACATGAATTCAAAAGGTTTCATACAGAGAGATGTTATTTTATACGAAACCAATTATCTAAGTTGTTCTACTTCCTAAAAGACAATTTTCTGAAATGAATGATGAAAAAAACTCGAAGGAATAATCTGAATTATTTATTCAAAACAAATAATATAAAATCTGATTCAGATCACTACACTTTAGTAGTAAAATAGTTGCTGTACTCAGGAAAGAAAAGACTGATTCTTGTTTTTATTATCCTTTATCATCTACCTCATATTACTAGTAAAGTATCCAGATTATTAGTGAATGAATAAAAATAATAAGTAAGTTTGTATACCTCGACAACACATAACCTAATTTATTGTCAATACTTTTTATGAACTTTTATTAACTCTTATTCCATATTTTGTTCGTTTGACTTACTATGTAAAACAAAAGATGACAAATAATTGTGATAAAATAAAATATTTCATGAGTGTTGTATAAAACTTTGATTTGATTTCATTCTAGTTATTTGATCAACAGGAGAACAAGTATGGTTATTGTTACCTTTTTTTAAATTTTAATTTACTTAATATTAATGATATGTAGCTATGAATGAAACTAAACAAAACAATAGGATGTTTCACAATATACTTTCATTACATTGAAAAAAAAAGGTGTTTAATCATAGAAAATAACACTTTCTTTAACATTGATCAAGTTACCTTTGTTATAGTAATTTGTGAATATCACTATCATAGTCTATTTGAATTAATGCATTTTACAAGAAAATTTATATATACAGAAACTTTATATGGTTGGTAATTGTATTAATAAGTTCTCAACAAAATACTAATTGTTATGCATAATCATTAACAAAATGATTTCAATTTGATCAACAACAAAAAACAAACAAACAAACTCTGTTTTTGACACTATACAAATTGTTTATTATTTATTCAATAAGATAGTTATAAATGTTTTCTTAAGCAAAATATTATTTCATGTATTCCATGTTGAAAGCACAATAACTTTAAAAGACATTTTCTTCTCTCTCTTTAAATTCAAGTACATTTTTGTTTCCAAAAAAAGGAAACCAAAAAAATCTCCATTTTTTAAAATTCCTACCCATCTATATTTTTGGCTAAATAAATTTTATTATTATTAAATAAAGGTTCAACATGATTAATAAGAACGATATTAAAGATTCCAATTGTGAAAATTGGAACAACATATGTAAGTGAACAATTGTTTTCAAATAGCTTATCATCAGGCTTTACTCTAATATATACATGAATATTTATACGAAAATGTTAAACCAATCGAGGCAATATGGGTCATTAATCACAATGAAATAGAATACATCACCGCAAATAATTGGTAAAAGTATAAGTTGATAGTAGGAAGACAGGTGTACTGATAGTAGTAAGAATAATAAAATACGATAATAAAAGTCTTATCAATAGTTAAACGTTGGAAATACAAGATCAAACGTGGGTGAATAGACTTAGAATAATCATCACAAAACATTAAAACCATTACGTAATATGAAGTGTGTAAATGATTAAATAGTGAAGAATACAAACGGAAAAAGGTGGAAAATTGCAAACAAATATGGGTGTGAAAATAATGCTAATGACAAAAAAATAAAACAAAGTTTATAAAAAGAATTGTCATTAGTTACATCCGGCCATAGAAGGGATAGGGAGATCACGAATTTCTTCTGTACATATAAATTGGGGTTAAATGTATGAATTCCTGTGGCTTCAGATATATTTAAGAGAGTGGAACGAAGTCCATCGGAAAATGATGGAGGTATGCGAAGATCACTCTAAATGACTTCGATTTGTCTACAGTGTGACCGCTATCAATTAGATGCTTAGCTATTGATATGACTTTTGTTATTGTATTTTATTATTCTTACTATTATCAGTACACCTATCTTCCTACTATCAACTTATACTTTTACCAATTATTTGCGGTGATGTATTCTATTTCATTGTGATTGTTGACTTAAATTGTCTTGATTGGTTTAAGATTTTCATATAAATATTCATATATATTAGAGTAAAGCCTGATGGAACTCGGCATTCATCAAGAGGCGTCATAACTCTTCTAAACAAACCAGATCCCAGCAGAGGAGGAAATCAGGAAGATGCGTTCGAGTTGGATAAAACACACATTGAGGAAAGCACCCAACTGCGTCACAAGACAAGCCCTCACATGGAATCCTGAAGGCCAAAGGAAAAGAGGAAGACCAAAGAACACAATACGCCGCGAAACAGAGATAGACATGAGTACAATAAACAAGAATTGGATAGAACTAGAAAGGAAGGCCCAGGACATAGTGGGTTGGAGAATGCTGGTCAGTGGCCTTTGCTTCATTGGGAGTCACAGTCGTAAATAAGTAAAGCCTGATAACGATCTAATTGAAAACAATCGTCCATTTACATGTATTGTTCTAATTGGAGGAAGAATAGAATTTATTTTAAAAAAATATGACTATTTTTTAATGTTTACTCTAACTTATGCATAAAAGAAAATATTGTGATAAAAAGAAAACTTTCATTTAAATCTCAATAAAACAAGGAAATTTATTTATAAAGACGAAAAGGCTCATTGAAAAAAGCATTTCTCGCCTACATTTTCAATTTTTGACTTTAATTTTTATTTGTATTGTAGATATAAATAGATTTCAACAAGGTAACATTACTCACTTTAGAAGAAAAATGAGAGAAAAAAATGAAGAGAAATCCTTTTTTCAATGACTCTTTTCGTCTTTATAAACAAATTTCCTTGTTTTATTGAGATTTACATTGAATGTTTTTTTTGGCGAGACTATAATTTATGGACGAATTAATCAGATTTACAATAGCGGGTCTAAATAGAGTTTTGGCATTATAACTAATGTGAGTTCTTGATGAAAACTCCAAATCTAATTCCTAACCCTAACCATCAGCTGTAAATCATAATCCTTATTTTTCAGACTGCTTTGTAACCATCATTTGGTTCTAGTTATAAGATTTTAACTCTCAAAGTCACTTTAGCGTTGCTCAACTGTCATCCATAAATTATAGTCTCACTAAAATGTATATGAGGTAATTATAAAATTACTTAAGCCAATAGATTTCCATGTTTGTCTATTTAAAAACAAAAAAAGGAATAATTGATCATTGAAATGTCATTTACATTATGTTGTAGAAAAATTAAAATAAAATTATTATTGGACATTTTAAACGTCTTATCTTGTATTAAATGAAATTGGTAACAATTTTTTTTCAATTTTAAAGATGCTACATAGAAATGTATAGATGTAAGTTCTTTTTTTTCTAACTCACTTTTGTTATAAACTGAATTGATAAGACACTGTAAATGATAATCTGGCTTAATTTTTGGGAACATGAAACAATCCACCAGTTTTCAGAGAACTACAATGCACATACAAAATATAGACAATATATAATATAATATTAAAATATCTACTGTTACCTTAAAAGAAACAAGAGAAATCACAACAAATCTGATCTATGAGTGTGATAAGTAAAAGTGATCATCAAATTTGTATGTTGTGTATGAAAATTTCTTATTCGATTTCGAGAATAATTCATCATGGGTACGACATCAAATTTTTCTAAATAAATGATCCTCTAAGCCACTTTATATATATTAAGTAAATATTGTTTTAAAAGCTAATTGTAGAACCTAATGAGAAAGAATACTCTTCGTTTATATAATTATGTTTTAATATCATGAGAATTTTTCAGCGATTAAAACGAGAATATTTTACTATTTAGTTGCAACGGTTCAAAACTAAATGTTTTGACTAATAATCATATGAACTAGTCTTTCTGTGTAACTTCGATTTTGTTTTGTTTTAAAATCATTGAAAAATTTCTTTAAATGATTTGTAATAAAGACACAAATTAAACATGAAATTTTAATCGTGAGTGTAGATCATCATTCAGCGACTGAATGAATCTTAATATTTTCTGTAATCAACCACTAGTGAGACAACAGGGAATTTATTTTAACCGCAATGTCTCATATGTCTTTCTCTAAACATTTAAGAGAAAATGGATATGTGTCTAAAGTGCGCTATTCATTTAACCCATAGAATAGAACAAATGTTCACTAATCCTTTGATACCCTGATTGAGTTTATTATATAACCTACTGAAAAATAGTTGTTATTCACAAATGTTCTCTGAAGTTGACATGTATCTCAATTTCCCATCTAGTCACTTAGCCCTGTAGTGAACAGAACACGAGTGGGGACAATCATATGTATTTAACACAAAATCACGGCACTTGTTAATAAAACCTAACAACCATAAAGTAAATGCTTAATTTGCAAAATGTCCACGAATTGTCTCAAAATGACTCAAACTTCATTTTCATACAAATCGCATCCTGCTTCCTTTCTTTACTGTTCGATCCTCATGTCTCTCTGCTGCCAGACCTTCTGTTTACGACTAACATCATATACTACTTATGTCAATATAAGTAGCACACACCACAGCCCTACTTAATTTTTGTCAGAAAATCATGTATTTATTTGTTGGATTAGATTAAATAACAGTTTCATATTTGTGGTTACCCTTGGAAATGCAATTTTTAAGTTTTATCTACACTGGTCATTCACCGAACGTATTTTACTGCAGATTTCAGTACTACTATAATCCACTTTAAAACTGATTTGTTTTATTTACGTTGTGACTGAATGGTTGTGGAAATGAAACGGAAGTATTTAAATTAAACAGTGTCATTAAATATTATTAAACAGATAAAAATATAATCGAATGAATTAGAGTTAGAAGTATGCATAACTCTCTAAATAATCTAGTAAAATGAAATCTTATTTTTGCATAGCTGTATCCATCAAATCAAGGATATCATGTGGTATGCTTCATAATAATAATTACTAATAAGTATTTAAAGTATTTGGTAAATGTAATGGACAACCAATTTTTTACTCAAAATCAATTATTATTTATTTAAATTATCGATAGGTGGCATTATTGTTTAATGGTTTTCATTCGATAATGATTATAGTCTGAATGTGATGAACGAGAACCCAAATGGAGACAACCGATTTATTATTTTATACAAAATTGCAGAATAACTTGGTAAAATATAAGAACCATAAATTAAATCCTTCACTTGAAATTCTCCCATCAACGATCCTCTACATTCTGTCGGATTCTTCCAATTTACAATTCCTTTATATTTCCCTTTCTGTTTTCTTCGATTTGGTCTTCTTAGCCTTCTTACGTCAGTCATTGAACATTGGATTGGTGTTACGTACTACTTTTGTCAACAGACATAAGTAGTATATACCACATAGGTAATGTTCAAACAGTCAATAACTTATCATACCGCATATGAATAATACAAATGAAGCCAAAACTAGGCAACTCAGATTACAGAATAACATAATCAATAATCCTGATATTGATAGTTTCTATTCTACCTAAACAAGGAAGTTCAATTCTATGTGTATAAGAATGAGTGAGAGTCTGGTTGCTGAACACCAAGTTTTCAGCAATCAATATTTCTAACATTCAGTTAATTTATCTATAAAAATGGTCTTATTCATTTCACTTGATTAGTTTCAAGTATTTATTTATTGTTTTGCTTTAAAAGTACACCAGTCAACCAAAACACTTGGTATTTGCAAGTTAGAGTTTTGTTATACAATTAATGACAAAAGATTTATTAATTAGAATATAAATGGCCAATATACTAAATTCATGTCAGTCTCTATTTTTGGGAAAATCAAATGTTTTGAATAAACATGCAACTTGCATTTTCAGTAAGCTACTATCTGTGATGGTGATTGCCTTTGACTTCGATCAAACTAAATCGATTACTTCTGTCGTTTACTGTAAATTAATCCTTCACCACCGAGAATTTCGCTAAAGTAAGTAAACGAAATTCGTTGAAATAACATACAATAATTCATTCAGGTATGGAGCTCTAATATATAGAGTGTCCACTGATCACAAATTATAATTATCATTGATCTAACCATATTCAAATGAGGATGAAACGGTTCAATTTTTTTTAGTTTTAATGGATGATCTCGGATTACGACAACTGTTATTCAAATAAGAGCTCACTTCTGTGTGGGATGATTAATCTTAATAAACATTTTATCGAATCAAGCTTTTCTGACTGGTCACAATTATTTGACAAGAAACTGTTACTCTACACAAATTACGTCATGGCTTCAGAATGAATCACCTAGTTTAAAAAGTGGAATTTAGATGATAATGCATAACTGTTTTACAAAACCTCATTATTACGGGCTATCAAATGACGGTTATTAGAAAAAAAGCCACATCACATCATACTACAAGTTCTACTTTACTATTGTTGAAATTCATCAGGTTGCTCAAAGTCATTTATTAAGATGATTCTTTTAAAACGCTTGAAATAATTTGTAGAATCAGTATCTAAACCCTAGTATCACATTTCGTGATAATTTAGTGCGCAACCTGGTATAAAACTTTCCTTAAAATCGAAATCTATGTCTGTAACGAGTAACTGATTAGCAGTAGCTTTTAATTTACAAATGAAATGTTATTGCTAATATGATTGAAACACAAGATCCTCCATTTTAATTACTGTAAAGTCATTCTCAAGCTATGGTACATAAACTGCCACAGTTCCGTTGTCATAAAAACTAACTTTTTAAAATAAATTGAGTAAACATAACAAAAATTTCCCAGAATCTGTTAAGGTAATATATCCTGTACAGGATGAAGTATCACGCTCTTCAAAAAACAGCTGTAAAATCAGAACACGGAAAACAGTAAATTAGTACATGTGTTCGTATCGGCAATAAACAACAAAGAATAAAAAAATTTAAAAATTTTTTGAAAATGAATGTTTTGGAAACAAACAACAGAAAACGATTGTATTCAAAATACTTCATAATCGGTAAAACGGTACAGGCTTGTCAAAGCGTCTTATCTATTTAGGTGAATCAGTGACAAAAAATTCATTGGAAACATAAGTCTCAATTTCAGTGTACTTATATGTTGTTGAAGTCCAGGAAACAATTCAGAAATTAAAAATAGTATAACGTTTATCATAAGTTCACATTTGTTTAGTAGATCTATTGAATGTTTTGATACATTTGCGTTTGCTCAACATTAGTGATTTAGCGTAAGTTTGATTTGGCAACGATAAACTACATAATCATGAGTACCTTG